ACGGCCTACCTGAAGGAGATTAGGAATCTGGAGAACTGGTGCCAGAGGAACAACCTCCTTCTAAACGTCAGTAAGACAAAGGAGCTGATAGTGGACCCTGAAAAGGATAAACGGAAGCAAATGGAAGGAATATGGAAAAATGTTTTTCCTCTAAAAAAACTGTGGAACAAAACTGGGAACATTTTACATTTACAAAAATGATAAAAGTCTCTGCATAATCTCACTTACTGTGGGAATGTCAATTCAATTGTTTCAGTCCATCGAGGTTTCATCAGCTATGTGAGCAACATTTCACACACACAGGAAAAGATCTCAGCATGTTAACAAATACTGCAGCAGTAAGTCGCAGTATTTGGACAGAAATCAAGTTATTAAAAAAACAACAACTAAGGAGTGACAAGATTCAGATATTCAACAAAAAGGAAAGATCATTTCCATGAGAACATATATTTAAATATACTACAGCTGGAAACAGCTGGAAGAACACAAATGGTCAAAGAATACTGAAAAATAAATAACTCTGGTGACAATCTTATCGAATAAATGCTGAAGTTATTTTCCCATTTATCAGCACTGGTTCCTTGCAGCTTTACATTTCACTGAGGGAGGTTCAGTTTAAGGGAAAATCAATGAATTCTCTTCGACTAAACTTCAGAAAGAGAGTAAAATAAAAGTTGTCCCTCAGTCGTTCTTGTCTCTGCCTGCTGTAAATACACATAAACAGACACAGACGAAACCTGAAGCAGCTGAACTTCAAAGTTCACAGTTTGAGTACAGACTTGTTCTCCGGCAGCCGAGTGTCTTTAAAATGAGTCGTGTTAACACTGATGGTCTAATGCGGTGACACCTTGAGACATTTAAGGGATCAATAAATTTGAGTTCCACGTTAATTATAACATCAGAAGGACCAACATGAATTTCTTGTCCTCTGATTCGCTCCAGTCTTGACATGTGGATTCTGATTACCCAATAATTTCAACAGGCAGCCTGTACAGTTATTTTTCTGTCTTTGCTTTAAGGGATTTCTTTTTCTTTATGTGTACAATAAAAATACCCGTTACACTTTCTATCACATCGATAAAAAAAAACCTTCAGGTTCTGCAGAGATTTTATTTTGCACAAAGTAAATCTGATGCAAAAGAAACTTTTTATAAAATGTTTGACACGAGTGCCGTGCTCTGTCATCACAGCTCTAAAAGCCTTTGGCTGTGGTGTTACCGCTGCTGTGTTTAGCTTTGTGTACTTCATGTTGACAGATCTGAGCTCATAAACACTGAACAAAAATGACTTTTAATGAAGTTACAGCGCCACAAAAGAAGACTTCTGAGTTTAAACAAAGACCGGCACATGTGAGAAGTTCACCGCCCCACAGAGACCCCAACAGTTTTTCCATAGCATGTTCATTTCTGCAGTACAGTTTGAAATATTATTATTATTATTATTATTATTATTATTATTATTGGGACTGACTCTCTGTGGAGCCTCAAGTGGACATTGCTGGAACTGCAGGTTTAAAAAGCGCTTATTTATCTCATAATGTTGCACAAAATGCCACATTTTCAGCTTTTCAGTCAATACTTTTTTCTATTAACTCTTCTAAACATATTTTGGTTGTTAAGAGTGTAAAGGCTGAGAAAGTAAGATGAGGAGAAGCGTGTAAGAACCGATGAAGACGACTTAATGTCTTTAAATATCAGTGGCTGTGATCTAAATCTAAACACCTACATTCCTCTGTCACATTCTTTTAGCCTGAAATGTGACGACTTTTCATAACGTGATCCAACAAACACACACACAAAAATATGCATTACCAGTCAAAAGTACCACCTTTTCATTCAATGTTTTTGAATGAACATTGAGGGGTGTGCGTGACCCCTGCAAAAGGTTCATGTCTCTATATCAGATGTCCAGAGAGGTGCACAACAATAAGCTTAACAACAACTTTTATTTGTTACTGGGTGAGAATCAGGCTTGCGACTCCAAAGGTGTGCAGTCTTGCCACTACACTATCCAGCTGCGTAACGTGTTCGGTATAAGGCAGGTTATGATAATACCTTGATCAAATTCAGTGTTAAATCTGTTCTTAACGTAAGGTATATCACTGTGTTTGCCTCAAAAGTTGATTCTGTTCATCTGGACGTTTTCAGGGGGAGAAACGTTTC